GTTAATTTTTTTATTCATTTATCACTATAGCATTCAAAGAAATAAGAAATATTTATTTATCATTAAAAATCAGAAATTAACTCGAAATTATAGAAAATTTTCCTAAATTTTCTTAAATCAAAATATTTTTTTATCAATAGAAATAAGATATTTTAGTTAGTTACCTGAAAGCAAAAATATTATCATTATAATTTTATCAGTATTAACAGAAAATTTTTTAAAAATTGGAATTTTTTAAAATTTTTTAAAAATTTTTTCTTTCAAATTGAATAATTTGCATGGATAAGAATGAAGTAAGCAACTAAATTGTCTAATTTTATTTAACCAATAATTAATAGAATCTTTGTGAAAATAATTTCTAACATTTCAATTCGCGAATAGTTTTCTTTGCTTCGAATTGTTGTTAAAAATCATTTTAGTTCGTTTTTATAGTTTTTCTTCGTCTTTATCATTTGTGGTTTAGTTTATCTATTGGTACCAATATTAATAGTACCAATGGTACTATTGGCAACGAGAATGGCCAGTAACGATGCGAGTTGCTAGAAGAATAGAGCGAGGATGAATAGATGGAGCAGAGGATTTAGATTTATTAATTAATTAGCAGTAGGATACCTAGCTGATTTTCATTTTTAATGATACGTTTACTCCTAAAAGATAGGATTGCAAATTAAAATGGCCAATTTTAATCAAAGCAATGGTACTCGACCAACCGAATCGACTAATATCACCTAAATCGACTAAAAGTAAAGTTTTACTTATTATTTATTATAAATTGTCAAACAACGACTATATATAGTTATTTCCTGAAAAGTGTTAATAGTACTAATGATAATATTTTGATAATAAAAAGCATTAATGATAATAATTCATAATAATTTATTAATGATAATATTTTATATACAAATACTTACAACGATGTTCTTTCTCATCTTTTTTTTTGATATTTTAGAATTTTTTGGCTTGTAAGGCTTATCGGGCATTGAGATTAGAGTTGCCTTCTTGTTTCAGTATGTTTAGCATTAAAACTATTCATCCAAACCGAAAACTGTGGAGATTACGAAAATTCTTACAGAAATCTTAAAAACTCACGAAACATACTGAAAAAATCTCAAAGCTCTTGAAAGACGAATCTGAGCACAACCTGGATCGACTTCTTCTTCTTCTAACAGCTCTCACCATTACTGGTTAGGTTGGCTCCAACGGCTACAAGGGTAAGACGCTTCCAAGCGGCGCGGTCTGATGCCATCGTCGACAGTAATGGAAGCCATTCCTTTTTCCATCGTCTAAGTCCATATATTGCTGGTCCACCTATACCTTTTCAAAATCTTTTCTCACCGTATCAGTCCAGGTCTTGATTGGCCCACCTCGCTTTTGACGCCAACCGTTACATGGTTTAGCAAATAACGAAATATGCGTCAACTCGCGTGCTGGACGACGGAGAATGTGCCCTAACCAGCGAAGGCGACGTTCAGTGATAACATTATTTATGAAAGTGGTATTTGAACGAAGGTGGATGCGATGTAGTGAGATTTTATCCACTCTGCGAACCCGTAATATGTACCTTAGACAAGAGTGGTCAAAGGCAGATAACTTCTTAATATCCTCCACTCTCATTGGCCATGTCTCGGAACAATATAATAAGATCGAACGGATCACGGCAATATAGATGCGGACTTTCGTCTTTATGGTGATTTCACGACGATTCCATAAAGTTTTCATCAACCGGAAGAAAGCATTTCTAGCTGCCGTGATCCGAGTTATATCATCTTTTGCCTGTCCATTTGGTATTAGAGTGGACCCAAGGTATTTGAAATCAGACACTTCCTCAACCGGCAATGAATTTACAAAAAGAGGCCTTTTATCAGCACATAAGACGAAAAGACTTTCGTTTTATTTACATTGATCCTGAGTCCGATTCTTGCTGCAGTTTCTGACACGTTATTTAGTATTACTTGCATTTCGTTATAACTGTCAGCAAAAAGGACTACATCATCAGCGTATTCAAGATCTGTGATACGATGCTCTGGACTAATTCGGACACCTCTTGAGTGTCCGACAAGCAATGTCCATTACCCAGTCTATCGCATAGTTGAATATTGTGGGGGAAAGGACACAGCCCTGATGGACACCTGTTCTTATTTCGAAGGAATCTGTCAGCTCCCCATATACACAGACCTGCGCCGACGTGCGCTCATAAAATGCCTTTATGAGTCTAATGATTTTCTCTGGAACACCATCACGTTCCATCATCCTACAAAGCGCCGTTCTATCAATTGAATCAAAGGCAGCCGCAAAGTCGATGAAACACGTGACAGTGGGTTGCAAATATTTGAAGCGATGTTCCAACACCCTTCTTAACGTGAATATCTGGTCAGCACAACCGCGCCCTGGTCTGAAACCAGTTTGATTAGGGCGCATCCTGCTGTCTCGTACTTCCATAATTCTGTTGAGTAGCAGGGAAGCAAAAATTTTTGTTGAGACATCTAATAGGCTGATTCCTCGATAATTGTCGCAACATGTCCTATCACCTATCTTGAGAATTGGGAACAGAATTGCTTTGCTCCAATCATCTGGTAATATTTCTTTTTCCCATACTAGAGAGTACATTTGTTGAAGGTGCGTTATGAAGGACAATGGACAGCATTTGAAAAGCTCAGCCCGAAGACCATCTTCTCCTGGAGTTTTGTTGGCCTTAAGCTTATGGATAATTGAAATTATTTCTTCTTCTGTTGGAGGCTCGCAATTGCAAACGTATGCTTCGGCAAACGTATCAGCTATATCAGGGGCAATAGATGGCGCTTCATGGTTAAGTTTGGCCTCAAAGAATTCTTTCCATCTTATGAGGCGATCCTTAATACTTTTAATTAGAACGCGATTGCTGTCTCTTACCATTTCACTGATCGTTCCCCGAGTCATAGTTGCTTTATGAAGAAGGCAGAATAGTTTCCTATTGTCGCCCAATCGAGCCGCCGCCT